CCCCCGCCCTGGGCTTTACTGTGCTTGCCCTTCCGACATCCTGGAAGTTCTGCTCTTAACTTCAGACTCACCTTGCCGGAAATAAAAAAAAATCATTTTCAAGTGATGAACAACCAGTGTCCTTTGGGGTGCCTACTGCCGTGGTTTCAATACAGTTTGGTCCCTTGGAAGCTCATAATGAAATTTGCTGTGGCAGTGGTGTCCAGAGGTGCGGCCTTTCTGTGGTAATTAGATCATTAAGGAACTGGGTTAATGCTGGAAGGACTGGATGAGTTACCATGAGAACAGGTTGTGGACTGGGGCTGCTCCTCGTCTTCGTCCTCTTCCGTACACGCCCGTCCGTCCTCTGCTTTACCATCCTTGCTGTGACCGTGCGTCAGGCCCCTGCCAGATGTGTCAGATCTTGGAGTCTCTGGAAGTGTGTGGTAAAGAAACTGATATTTGGTTGTGGCTTGAATTCGATGGTAGGAACCATCCGCCATTACTTCCACTAGACTCACTGAGGCAAGGTTTATTATCTTGCTCACCAGCCCACTCTGGGGATCCCCTCTGTCTCTTTATGAGTCGGGAAGTCTAGGCAAGCTGCCATGCCCATCAGGCGCTTATGTGGATTTCTGGGGATCCAAACCCTGTGTTTTATTTTTTTTTTAAAGATTTATTTATTTGTTATTAAGTATACAGTGTTTTGCCTACATGTATGCCTGAAGGCCAGAAGAGGGCATCAGACCTCATTACAGATGGTTGTGGGCCACCATGTGGTTGCTGGGAATTGAAATCAGGACCTCTGGAGGAAGAGCAGCCAGTGCTCTTAACCACTGAGCCATCTCTCTAGCACCAAAACCCTGTGTTTTAAAGCAATTGGTTTTTTTTTAAGGTTTATTTATTTATGATGTATACAACATTCCTTCCATGTATGCTTGCCAGAAGAGGGCACCAGATCTCATTATAGATGGCTGTGAGCCACCATATGGTTGCTGGGAATTAAACTCAGGACCTCTGGAAGTGCAGTCAGTGCTCTTAACCTCTGAGCCATCTCTCCAGCCCCAGCAATTGGTTTTTTGTTTGTTTGTTTGGTTGGTTGGTTTTGGTTTTGGTTTTTTGAGACAGGGTTTCTCTGTATCTTTGGGGCCTGTCCTGGAACCAGCTCTTGTAGACCAGGCTGGTCTAGAACTCACAGAGATCCTCTTGCCTCTGCTCCCCAGTGCTGGGATTAAAGGCGTGCAACTGTCTATAGCCCCTGTTCTCCTCTGCACAGCTCCAGGGATTCATCCAACCAGAAAGGATGTCAGTAATAGCTGAAACAGAAGACTAGCCTAGTTACAAAGTAAAACTGACCCTTTTTGTTGTTTTGAAACAGGGTCTTATGTAGCTGAGGATAGCCTTGACCTAACCCGTCTGCTTGCCTTCTCAAGGTCTGGGATTACAATCTTTTTTTTTTTTAATATTTATTTATTATGTATACAATATTCTGTCTGTGTGTATGCCTGCAGGCCAGAAGAGGGCACCAGACCCCATTACAGATGGTTGTGAGCCACCATGTCGTTGCTGGGAATTGTACTCAGGACCTTTGGAAGAACAGGCAATGCTCTTAACCTCTGAGCCATCTCTCCAGCTCCATGGGATTACAATCTTGATACACTGTATCCAGCTCACTTTCAAAAAATACTTTCTTAGTTGAGCCTGCCATGGCGGCAGTTACCTTTATTTAATTCCTCCCCTAGGGAGGCAGAGGCCGGCAGATCTGTGAGTTCGAGGCCCGCATGGTTTACATAGTGAGTTCCCAGACACCCAGGGCTATGAAGAGAGACCATGTTTCAAAAACAAATGAACAACAAAAACCTTCTCTCTCTCTCTCTTTCTCTCTCTCTCTCTCTCTCTCTCTCTCTCTCTCTCTCTCTCTCTCTCTCTCT